AAAAAAAAAAAAAAAAACACCAACCATGCGCTCTGGAGGTCGGGCCCCCGAATCCCCTAACCAGCTGTTGGTGTGGCGCGCCAAGGTTTGTCGACGCCCATTTTCAAGGCCGACCTCCTTCGGGCCGGGTGTCGTTGTCCTACTGGGCCGCGACTCGTGCTCCGTATCCCTTGCGCACCGTCCTGTTGAGGCAACTTGGCTGGGCGCTTGTGTTCCCGGGAGCGAAGCCAGCTTGCCGGCTGATGCTGTAGCCCGAGCCTGGGGCTTGCAGGGGGGCTGCTAGCAAAAGTGGCCGGTAACCCAGGGTAGACGGCGCGAATAACTGCTCGGAAAAAGGTCCGGAGGAAAAACAAGATCAATGTGAGCACTGTGGATTCACAATCAATATGAGCACGGGCTGCGAGGCAAAGGGCGGGCGACGAGGCGTCGCAGCATGTTACCGACGACGAAGCTACGCGACCCCCGGCGGCTTGCGGATAGCGACGAGCCACCCACGGGCGGGGGCTGTGACGGCAAATGTGCACATGCAATTCGATTGGCGCACGTGCAACTTGACTGGTGACCTCACTGAAATCCTCGGCTCAGCATCCTCGTCGATAACCAAGCCCCGAAATTCCAGCTTTGTTTGCTTTATTTTGCTTTTATACCACTGGGACCACGCGCGGCTGCTTGCCAGGAGCAGAGGAAACGAAGGATTACTAAGTGCGGCCGGTGTGTGCACGGCTGAGCGTGCGACAATCATCGAACATGGGGCTGTAAGGGTCGAGCCGTCTATGGCTGGGGTCGTGCAGTTGTTGGTGGTTTACTTCGCTAGTTCAGGCAAGCACGCTTGTTGCCCCATTGCGAGACACGTGCTTGATATTGCTTGATCATGAGCCTACACAGGAAAAACTATTTCACATGCTGGGCAAACCACTGATGCAAACACCTCTTTCCTCATTGGGGCCCAAGCACGGCCCCAGAACCGAGCCCAAATCCGCAAGTGCCGCAAAATCATGGATGTATCGTTATCGAAGCTGTATCGGTATTGAACCGTGAGGTATCGAGAATCCACGGTATCGATATTGAACCGAACCGAAATCCATAGGTATCGAAAACAACCGCCCTATTGATAGAGAACCGAACCGAAAACCATGAGTATCGAGAAAACATCCGGCGTTTGTATCGAAGGGGAACCGAAATTTGACCTAGATGCTTTAGGCCTCATAGGCCCTTGGACTCTCCTGTCTCCTCTTTTTTGTCCTCTTTCTGCGAGGAGTGAGACAGAGGGGAGAGGGGAGGGGACGGGGGCCGCATGCTAATCCTCCGTTTTTCCTGGGCCGGCTGGCCCGTGAGCCCAGCAAAACAGTAGGAGTAGCATGCGGGCCAAGTCCCCTCTCCTGTGTCCTTTTCTCTGCCCTCTTCTGAGAGAAGAAAAGAGGGGAGAGGAGAAGGGACGGGGGCCGCATGCTAATCCTCCGCTTTTCCTGGGTCGGCTGGCCCGTGAGCCCAGGAAAAGCGGAGGACTAGCATGTGGGCCCCGTCTCCTCCTGCCCTGGGCCTTTTGAGGCCTTCCACTTTTCCTGGGCCTTCCGATCCCTCTGAATCCTTTGGTCCTTCGTCCTGAACGTGATGCGGGGATTTGGAAACCCATGTACCCGGGTTGGGGCCTGTGGGTCAGCAATTATTAAGGTGTCAGGCACATCCATGACAATGTCGTTTTGTTTTTTGGTGTTTTCTCTTCGCAGTGAAGCGAAGGGGCAGAGCCAAGTCAAGGACACGCGCTCCAGGCAGGCCATGGCATGCGGCTGGCCATGGCGGAACGGCAGTGGAGTCCGCGAGCAAGGGACACAGGAAGGACAGCAGGCCGGCGGCGAAAGAACACCCAGCGGCAAATGAAAGGAAGGCAGACCACCGCGGTGTGATGCTGTGTGTACGCGCTTGCCGGGCCCGCGCCGGTCCCAGACCGAGACCTCCTGACAACGCAGCCTCCGCTGCGCGACGGGCCGACAAAGCAGTGCAGATGGCCGCGCACCGGTCCGCCGCCCAAGCTAGGTTGACGAGAGACGAGGTGGAACGGAGGAACCTGGAGCAGCCCATCCTCTCCCCCAAGCGGCGCCACGGAAACGCAGCGGCACAAAAGTAAACACCACAGCGTTTGTCAGGTTAGCACTTGTGGCCGGGATGTCAGCGCCATAGCGCATTGCTATGAATCACGTGTGTGGGCGGGATTTCTTTGCCCCTTTCGGCGGTAACCGCCATGGTTTCCAGTGGAATGGGCATGACCGTCATTGAACTGCATACGTCAGCTGTCTGCAAAATGTGTGATGCGACCCCACACTGAGCTATGCAGGTTCTTTCGCTCCCGGGAATGTGACCACCGCTTGGCCGAGTCCTGAGCAAACTTTTCATGAATGTGCAGCCCGCGTGCATCATTGCAAGTCAAATGTTGTAACATAAACAGGGGTTACCAACGTGGACAAATTACATATGGTGTTTGATTATAGCTGAGCTGCTATTAGGGCCTTGACCCTGGAATTCCCAAAGTGAGGGGCCCAATTACATTATGTCTTGCGTGTATCCGAGGCGAGATCGATCACGTGAAGATCAGCTCATGCTCGCACAAGCATGCCACTTACAGGGTTGCTGTTCGGTTGGATGTGGGAATGCAGTTGTGGTGTGTGAGTGCTGGGGTGTTTGTGTGAATGTGCGCGCACCATGTCAGGCAAGGCTGTGGGAAACTTCAAGGCGGTCAGGCAAGCTCAAGGCGGTTGTTTGCTGAACGTTGGTTTATTGTTTGCACGAAGCCCGGCAACAGTGTGATGTTGTATGATGTTGCAGACATGCATGCAATCCTGGGTTTGTCGATTTTGGCTGCAAGCTTGGAATCTTCATTTGTCATGGAGCCATGCCACACACTTACCCGATGGTTCATGCATGTTCTCAGCTATGACGTCCGAACATGACACCAATGCCAAGAAACAATCTTGCATTTCACGCGCTTTGTTCGCACGGGAACCATGGGGTTCCGCTGCATTGTGTTGGCCTTACTGCCACTCGCAGCTGGGAAGGCCGGGCGCATGGACCAGCTATACTTCGAGCAGTCCCACCCCAGCTATTGTTCAAGGTGTGTTCATGTATCATTCAGTTCTGGATACGCCTCGCCACATCTTGGGGTTGGGCATTGCAGACACACCGTCGCACACTATGCTTTTCATCGTGACGACGGGTTGGAAGTTGGGGTTGGCAGGCCATAGGCAATGACGGAATGCAGAAAAATGCAGTTGGGCACGCCAGGAACATAGTTTTGTCGTGCAACGGAGCATGCGCAGAGCAGGGCTAGTAGGCAAGCAGATTGTGATTACAAAGTGCAAGCCAAACATTGATCATGATACGGCAGGCGCACAACTTCACCAGATTTGAAGTGCAGGTCACTGGGATTTTTTGGCGTCACTTGTGCAGTCAAGATGGCCAAAGTGATGGCGCCCACAAAACTCAGGATGAGGTGATCGAAGCCGCGTTCGTGGGTGCCATGAAGCCAGCTTGGCGGAGTTGTCAACTTTTAGGGCCATGACGCAACACATGCCATGTAGATCCATGCATTCCATGAACAGTGAAGGTTACTTGCTGCTCCTGCCATCAATGTTTTCGGTGTGGAGTCCTAAAGTAAATTCGCATGAAATCTGCCAAATCTGCATGTCAGGGCTGTCCGGGACTTCCGGGGCCAGTGTGGCACATCTGCAGTGGACATGGATTCCGGCTGCTTCGCCTGACAATACAACCGCAGAAGACAACTTGTCCATAACCCCGCGTATCGGAGCGCGCTATGCATGAAAACACCTTTTCCAACATTTTGCAATTACATGCATGGGAATACTGTGTTCTGTTTGTTCAAACCGTTCAGATTTCGGACAGCTGAGGATACGAGCGTCCGAGAAGCATGACGCCTTTGTGTTACAAGGAGCAGTACACCAACTGCACCCTCAGCTACAGACAGCTTTCCTGCCCCGAGCCTTGACCTGCAGCTCGCTGTTTCTTGCTGAGAATTGTTGCCGCCGCGGCATCCGTCGCCGTTCAGCATACATCAGGTTTACATGTTCGACATCAGCATGCAATGGACGGGTATGGCTTGCCAAGGACGAGTGTCCATATGTGGCTCCAAATCCGTCGTTCCCTTGCATTTTCACCTGCGTAGGGGTACATGCGCCTGGGCTTGTTAGAATGCATTTTCACATATTGTCATTCATGGTTGCTTAGAGCTACGGTGTCCACTGTTGCTGCACCATAAGGACTGCGCGAAATATAGTCCGGGCAGATCGCTTCCAAACACCGACATCAAAGTTTGTGAGCCTTGCAAGCTTGGAGGCCGAACTGCGATTTATTGATCAAATCCATCACAAATGACGACCCATGAGCTGTACTGTGGTGCCGCTTTGGTGTGCAACGTAAATCCTGCGTCTTGTTGCGGAAGGTGTATGCACGCATCGATGCGCAGCCCCCACACCCCCCACAAACAACCCCACACAAGCCCAGCAAAAATATGTTTTTCAGAACCCCCTGGTGTTTCATTTGATACATGACATTTCTTAAATGTTTGCAGGGCGTAAAGGGCGCTATACCGTATTGTTAACCCCCTTTAACCCGAAGCCCGAAAACCCTAATTCTTGCTACAGGTTGCCAGAACTGCAACTCGCACGAGGTGTGTTCGCAATGCTTTGAAGGCCTTGGCCGGTATGCTTGGGGCCCGGGATGCCTGTCCCAAAGGGCCACGTACACTAGTCTAGTAGGTTTATAGTTTATAGTATATTCTCAAAGCCCTTAAGGGCTCCCAAATCATTATTTTTCGGGGCCCAAGTATACAGTTAATAGTATGTCTATTTCGTATATAGTATTTAGATATATACTCTGCATATTATATTATTATATTATATGATGTAGTTTATGGTATATGGTATATACCCTGGATTTGTCATGGCTTTTCCTTGACAGGCTTCATCAAAATCGATGGCCAGTGCGTTTTTTACTTGGATTCAAATGGCGTCACGTCCGGGGCACCTTGTCGGCACAGTAGTTTCAGAGGCTGTCAGGAAGCTGCAGAAGGCCCAACTTTGCAGCAGACCTCCGTAGCAGTACCTACCTGAACCCAACAAGTAGGTAAAATAATAGGCCAAAACACCTAAATATAGCCCAAAAGGCCATTATTCTACATACTTTTGGGGGTTTAGGTATGGCCTTTTCCTGTTTGCCACGGTCACAGGACATTGGAGCATCTTGAACAGTTACAGGCGTTTGTTTGACTGCGTCTCTCATTTTGTAAATGTGAACGCACGAGCAGCTCAACCGAGGTATTGAATGCCTTGGTTGTTCTGATAGTCCTGCTCGCTTCCTGGCCGCATCGCACTTCCAGATTCAGCTTACTTGGTTTGTGACCCAAGAGGGTTTCTTTGATCGCGCTTGTCACATTCTGTCACTATGGCCACCACAGATGCCACTGTCATGGTTCATGATTGTGTCTTTGCGCATGTTGCGGCTCCTGCTGCCGCGCTCTTGAGGTCATCATTGTCACAGCGCTGTACTGTCGTGGGGATTGGAATAGCCCGCAGGCAGCCAGTCCCTCAGATATGGCCTGTTCGGACTCGCTGCAGCTTCCATGACCGGACCCTAACATAGATCCCAAGATATTACAGTCCTTATTGTTGGGACCGCCCCCAAAATAGTACCCCCAATTGTCGGAAACACGAACTCCTGTTAAATGGTTGCTGACGCCTGCGCATGCAGAATGTGTCCGGCGATGGTGTTTCAGTAAACCAGCGGACCGCATGCGACCAATTATGTCTCACAACCAGGGTGCTGAGATATAATTTTTTGTCAACTGAAACCAGTAGCCTGCTACATTCGTGGTTGAAAGTTTCAGAGAAGGGCTTTAGTGTCTTGCACAAGAAAACTCGCAAGATTTTCGTATGGTAGTTTCCCAAAATAGGGGGACCCAAGCATAAACCCCAAAATACTATAATCTTTACTTTTGGAGCCTTTCCTTTTGGGAAACCCCCGCAGTTAAATTGGGGGTCTGGGCAGGGTTGCCTTCACTTCGGGGTCATCTCGCTTCGCTTTTCTTGATTTATAGTCCTCCTAAGGTATATTATGGCTTTGGGTATTATAATATGATCCCCATATACCCCATATTCTATTTACTTAAGGGGGACTATATCATTCGTTATATATGGGGCTTGACGTTAAAAAGGGTTTGAGTTTTGGGGGTTTAAGGTTTTTAAGGATGGACCCTAAACCCTAAAAGCTTGAACCAAATAAACAAGGAACATGACGTTATGACATGCAGTAGCAATAGTGAAAACAATGAACTGGACCTGTCAATGAGGGGCAGAGTTTCCCAAGGAGAGTGGAATGGGTTAGGTAGACCCCCCACTCAGTAACAGTGACTATAAAGGCTAATGGGGGTTGGTGGGTCGTGGGAAGGTAGAATATGTAGGATGGCTGTAATCAAAAGGTCCGGAATGCGTTGTGTGTGCGTTCCTGTGTGGAGTTGAAAGCTGCGGGTTTCCATAAGCGCGGTGCCCCAGTAGAAGCTTTGATATTTGTGATCCTTGTTGTATATGTGTCCCCAAGGCACGGGCCCCCAATTTCCGGTACCCCCTCTTCGACGTATCGATAGCTTGTGACGGGCTTGTCAGGTGGGTTTGGTATGAAAAAGTTGTGCGACAGTCTTTCCTGATGTCTCCGTACCATGAAGGATTTCGAGGACACACAAGGATTGTTGGCTCGAAGGCGCTACGGTTTTTGGTTGGGCCCCTTAGCAAAGTCAGCGGCAGCTGGTTGCCCCGACTCTGAACATGCATATCAGCCAAAGGCTACCATGGGGAAGATCGGGATAAGGGCTAGGCCAGGTGTTTGGACGCTCAACCACATCGCAATTTTGCGCCACAGGAGGGGGCAAAATGGGAGCAGCAGCAGATGCAGACGCAGATGATGATGGTGGTGGTGTTGGTGGTGGTGGTGGCGGCGGTGGTGGCGGTGGCGGTAGTGGTGGTGGTGGTGCGCGATTCCCTGACTTAGTACATCTTAGTAATGAGAGCTGTCTATCTCAAGCCAGGCAGACTTTAGGGTTTCTAGACTCTAGAATTTCAACGGGATGGTGTCAACCGAGCTTACACAAGTCTTAGCAGTGATTCTAGAATCTCCTCATTAGCCCCATATATCCCGAAGGTCCCCAAAACCCGCCAAATTCTGAGAAAACCCAAACGATGTTTTTTTTTGCTGCTTAATAGGGAATAAAAGACAAAGACAGAGAAATAGTTCGAAATAAGTACATACATAGGGGCTAGTCTCGGGATATCTTCTTCCGTAATGCAGGAGCGAGCTTCCATTCTTTTTTCCGTTCCTCCACTCAAACCCTTGCTTATCCCTAGCAATGCCACATCTTCCATTGCCCCTTCCAGATTCTACCCTCGACCGTACCGAGACCCCCAAACCGTGTCGAATGATGGCCAATTTGGCCCCTGTTCGGGACTTTGGGCTATTCTACTCTTAGGGTCCAGGTAGTTTTAAGTTGGAACCCAAAACCCCTAAACCGTAAACCCGAAACCCCAGAACCCCTGCACCCTAAACCCTAGTTCTAAGGTCGCGAATCTGCGGAACATGTTGGAGGCGCGAAGGCACCGGCACCTGCGCAAACTTCATCTCTGGGTTCCTGAGTGGCACTTTGTTACGGGGTGGTTTGGAGGTTGAGGCGTTAAAGGCAATTGGGGGGATTATGGGAGTTTAGGATTTGAATTTTACGGGGTTCAGAGATCTAGATGGCCTGGGAACTAGTTAATTCTGACTACGAGCCTTTCTATCCGCCTGTTACCCATAATAATACCGTAGCCATTTCTACTACGGAAGATAACCCCCAGGCCACCTAAGCAAGGGAGTTCCTGAGCTGCATCTTGTGCCCAGCCTGTGACTAACGCGATGCATCCGCAAAGCCTACCTTGTAGTCTGGTCTGCATCTGACGAGTTTAGGGTTTGGAAGGGCATCTCCACCGTTATAAATCTAAGGGGATCCCTGGAACAAGTGCCTCCTCACCCCCTATATATAGATGTAAGGGGACTCCATAAGTGACAACTGTTCAGGCCTTCGTTTTGTTTTGTTCTAGGGGGTTGTGGGGTACAGGGTGTGGTGTCCAGGGTTTTGGAGCCAGTCCAAGCCGTATAAGCTTCTGAGGAGATGCTTGAATTGGGTTGCTGTTGAGGAACGTAAATTAAGTTACTATATTGGGGAAACCATAATGTTAGTTACTATCAAATATACATACATATATATATATATACACCCATAATGCTAACGTGATTTAAGCTCCTTAACAGCAACCCAGCAAAATGTCACTGTAGACCATCATCCCTGTTCCAAACAACAACGGAGAAGCGGCAGGGTGAACGGTTCGCAGGCATGCGCTATTCACATGCTCACCTTTTACAATGAAAAGCCCTAAACCAGACCCTAAACCCTAGACCCCAAACCAGCAGCAAAGCAGCCCAAACGGAGAGAAGGCCTGGACCTGAATTGTAATAAAGTACTTAGGGTTTAGGGTTTGTATCAAACTTGATTCCACCCGGGATGAACATGTTGTATTTTTTTGCACAGGCTAGTTTCCCAAAATGGGGGGGGGGGGGTGTATGTATAGAGCCCAAGATTGTAGATTGTACTCTTGGGCACCGAGAAAGGTACCCCTTATTTTGGAAAGCCCTTGAAACACTACATGGTAGTTTCGAGGTTGCCTATATCTCCTACCCCTATATATCCCTCTATATCCCCATGTACCCCATATCTCTTAGCCAGGGCAAACAGACATGTGCCTGTTTATTTCTTGCTGTGTAGATGGGGCGGGGGATCCGAAACGACGACCCAAGCCCTGGTTTGATCCCAAATCTGGGTTTTAGGGTTTAGGATATACAGGGTTTAGAATCTAGAATTTAGGATTCAGGGGTTTCGAGTATGGGGTTCAGGGTTTAGGGTGTAGG